ACACACACACACACACACAATGTAAAGTCGGCAGGCGGGCCTTTAGTGACTGCACACAGTCCTAATGGCTGTCATATACAGATATGAAGAGCAAGAAGAAGAGCAAACAGGAGAAAAGGGAAAGGCGTGGGTCTTTTTTGTCTACTCACCCGACTGTGTCACCTGGTAGCTGGCGGGATGGCAGGCGAGACAGCAGGCGCGATGGGCGCAGGAGTGTTCGGGATTCCTGGCTTGTTTGGTGTCAGAAACATGCCGTTTCTTCTTGCTGCGAAAAAAGACCCGTTTCCAAGAGACGCCGGCCTCCAGCCCGTTTCCAAGAGACCTCTTGCCCAAATGGTTTCAGGTCGAAACCAGCCCAAACGGTTTCAGGTCGAAACCAGCCCAAACGGTTTCAGGTAGAAACCGGGCCAACCGGGCCACCGTTTCAGCCAGCCTACTAGAGGCCGGGTGCATTTTCAATTTACACCCGGTCCGAGCCTGTGCCCAGCCTATTTCCCTAGGCTGGAAAGCACCCAGTGGTTACCAACTGGGCAAATCTGGGTTGCGGGGCACTACTGGTGGCTTAAAGATGGGAATATCGGCTATACCCAGTCCCAGCGCCAACTTGCGTCTATACCTAAAAAACGGCCGGTGGAAATTGTTTGCATGCCCAGGATTAAGGTGGACGCAGGTTGGGATCGCAAACTTGCGATTATTACCGACTACCGGAATGCATAAATTATGGATATACCCAGACAAAATGATGCGCATACCCGAGACCTGAGGAGCGACCAAATTGTTCATATACCCTGCTACTGGATGGCTGAAATTATGCTCATACCCAGCAGCCGTTGGGCCACCACGGTGTAGTTGGTGGTGGGCATGAGCATGATTTGGTGCTCCGAATCCAAGGCCTATGATCTTTAAGCCCAACCAATTCAATTACCTGCCAAATCTGGACAGGACGGCCTTTCAGGCCTTTTTTATTGTCATTATAGTATTACGGGGAACCCCGTAGCAGCCACATCCGTGCTCAAGCCTCCAACGAGGGAACATGCGGTAGCTGCACCCACCAGTGCGTTACCTGCTACAGCAGGTGGGGGATACCGGCCAGGGGTCAGCCGGTAGCATCAGGACCGAGCTTCTTCGATGGGCCACTCACTGGGCCTCCCCTCCGGTCCCCTCCCCCTATGAACACCAGCAGTCTCTGCTCAATGCCACTCGGGGGGACCAACGACATATCTCTAGGTCGTGGGTGCCAAGCTTGCCCAGGAAGGTACATGAGGCCAATGGGGATTGAACCCAAGGCCTCCTGAATGCCACTTGCGTGCCTTACCAACTGAGCTAGGCCGATGGAGACCTATGGGATTGGGTACACCTACAACTCCGCACTGGGGAAAAGCTAGGCACAATGCAAAGTTGAACGGCCTCCGGGTAAAGTTTGCGCTGGGACTGGGTATAGCGGGTATTCCCATCTTTAAGTGGGGTACAGATGCAATTTTCCCTTTCGTCATATACTCTTTGAGTACTGTGCGAGTTGGCGCGGGACAAATCTCGTTGGGGTAAGTTTCTAAAATAGCGCGTTCAATACCTTTCTCGGCCTTTTGGTTCAATACCTTTCTCGGCCTTCGGATCAAGTGTAGTTTTTGTTCTGCTCCGTTGTCCATAGGGCCATATGATACTAAAATTTATTTTTCGGGCTACGGCGCGGTCACAGGAGCCTCCGCGTTGCCTTCGTATTGCACTGAAGCGAAGCGTGGCGGGGCCCACTCCCCCTACAGTCTTCCTTCGAATACAACGCACAGCCATTATAGCTGAATTTAGACCTAAACATACACCAAATTCGGCTATAATGACCGGACGTTGTATTCGGGGGAAGCCTTGTAGGGGACATATAAAAGAAAAAGAAAAAGGAATTAAAAAAATAACGCTTTCGCGTTGGCGTTCGAGGTCGCGGTAGTTTCACAGCAAAAGTAGTGGCGGGGCCCAAGCTTTCGTTGCAAAAAAACACGTTCTTCTTCGTTGCACAAAAGCTGCCGATTACCCCGTATTTTTTCCCATGTACTCCTCGAGTACCGTGCGAGTTGGCGCGCGACACATCCTTTTTTGCGCAAGTTTCAAACATAGCGCTTTGTCTTTGGCGGTAGTTTCTCAGCAAAAGTAGTGGCGGGTGAGTATTTATATTTGCGACTGCTTTCTTCCTTCTTCCTTCTTCCTGCTCCGCCCATCGGTCCGATCATGGAAGACTCTGTGTTCACGCCGGCACTTCGAGCGATCCCTGATGTGAAGTCCGCAGACGGCGTCATCATGACGAAGCCGTGGCTGGAGTTGTGCGGCTACATATTGCCTGTCATAGACCGTTTTGGTGCTGCCTTGGCCCTTGTCAAGTCCGATATTGGAGGAAATATCTCGCGGCTGCAAGGAATTTATGACAAGCACCCAGAAATGTACAGAGATGTATACGATATCGTCCGCAAGGAGGTGGCTGCGAAGACTGCGAGAGGGTCATCCAGCGGGACTAACGGTCTGTTATGGCTCACGAGGGCTATGGATTTTCTCGTGGCGATGTTCAAAAACCTCGTCGATCATGCCGATTGGAGTATGCACCATGTCGCCACCGAGGCCTATGGAGCAACGCTCAAGCCTTACCATGGATGGTTTGCGAGCTCTGCGTTCTCCGTCGCTCTGAAGCTGATCCCGAGCCGTGAGACATTCATGAAAAAGCTTGGCGGAGGTGATCTTGAGGGAGACATGGCCAAATTTGTCGACAAGTTTTCTCCGTTCTTGGCACAGAATCACGAGTTCCTGAAAAGTGAGGGCCTGGATGACATGAAGGCCTCCTGATCTCCTTGCTCTCCTACAGATGTGAACACAGACGAGTTTTGCTGAAACGTGAGGGCCTGGATGACATGAAGGCCTCATCTCCTTGCTGTCCAACGGATGTGAACAACATCAGGGTCGGTCGCCGAGTTTCTCTCGTCTTCAAGAGATGCAAACATGCCAGCGCATCAACAATAGCTAATGTGACGATTGATACTCTTCATCTTTTTTTTCGTATGCTCTTTTGAGTACTGTGCGAGTTGGCGTTGGACAAATCTTCGTGGGTAGACATTTCGGTGTTAGGATTTATGTATGTATTCCCTGCCTCTCAATTGGATCGGCAGGTTGGCTTTTAGCAGAGGTTATTTCGCATATTAATTAGATCTTGAAAAAAATGATGATGCTGTATCGTAGAATCTCTTCCTGTTCAAAACTCATGTGTTTAGTTGATTGATGCTGCTGTATGAATTTAGTTGATTGATGCAGCTGTATGAATGTCCTCATAGCATTTTTTCTTCTTTGCTCCTGAAAGTTGTGTGTTTCGTTGAGTAGGATAGATTGCTCTGATGTGATCGGGTCCTTCTGGGTCTGTCTCTTATACACATCTAGATGTGTATAAGAGACAGGTTCAAAACTCATGTGTTTAGTTGATTGATGCTGCTGTATGAATTTAGTTGATTGATGCAGCTGTATGAATGTCCTCATAGCATTTTTTCTTCTTTGCTCCTGAAAGTTGTGTGTTTCGTTGAGTAGGATAGATTGCTCTGATGTGATCGGGTCCTTCTGGGTCCTGTAAAAAGCGAAACTGGGTAAGGCTCCCAGAGTGTTCATCATTGACTTCCGGGTAGACTGTGAGGACCCCGGCCTCAAACATATCTTTGGTAATACTAGTATTAGCCTCGGACAAAAGAAAAAAACGCAAAAAAAATTCGTTGCCAGGCCGCCGACGTAGTGCTTGTTCGTTCACGCGAGGAATCCGAGCAATCAACTTGCACGTTAGTGAAGGTGGAGGGTGGGAGGCGGGAGGTGATCGATCGAGGTCTCCCTATTGAGGGTAGGGCTGTGTCGGCGCGGGGGAGTGTTTGATGGAGGGCTTGTACGCGTGTGTGTGAGAGGTAGGGGAGGGAGGAGGTCAGATCGAGATCGAGATCGAGAGGGGGAGGGAAGGGAGGGAAAGACGTCTCATCTGCGTTGTCCATCGCCCTCGGCAGCTGGAAATAGCGTCACGTCTGCTGAGGAACCTGACACGTCACCTGTCAGACGTGGCATGCGAAGATAGTGCTTTCGTAATGCAATACAGCCTGCAAGACGGGGCCCATGGCCATGGGTAAGGCTACGGAGGTGGTCCACGAAGGCCCGGTACGTCGGGGCCTTACAACGTGAGCTGTTACCATTACCCGTCTTCGCGTGTCCTCTGCTCACTTTTATCAGCTCCCCTGTCTGCTTGTCGAAATGTCCAGAAGTAGGTAGTATGTCCATCTGATCCGAGCTGCAGTGTTCTGTCTCTTGCTCTTTCGTGGGGTTGTGTACTTGTCTGCGTCTCTGCGTGGCTGTGTATCAGTTCGTGCGCGTACGCCATTGAATTGACAATGTCTCTGCGTTCCCAACTTCCCTACAACTGCATCATGTATTCTGCCACGTCATAGTTGACGTCCCCTGCTCCCAGTGCTTCGTTTGTCTTTCTCTTTTAGCAAGTGCATCCCTCTCCCTCCCTCTCATGCGCGCGCGTGCGTATTCCTGTGTGTGTGTGTGTGTGTGTGTGTGAGAGAGAGAGAGAGAGAGAGAGAGAGAGAGAGAGAGAGAGAGAGAGAGATCTGTCTTCATGAGCTAGTGTATCCGTCTCTCGCTGTCATGCGCGCGCCTGCGTATGTGTAGTTGTGTGTGTTTGTGTGCGTGTGCGTGTGTGTGTGTGTGTGTGTGTGTGTGTGTGTGAGAGAGAGAGAGAGAGAGAGAGAGAGAGAGAGAGAGAGAGAGAGAGAGAGAGAGGGTAGCGAGCATCATTGGTGTATCGAGAGAGAGGGTAGCGAGCATCATTGGTGTATCGAGAGAGAGAGAGAGAGAGAGAGGGTAGCGAGAATTATTGGTGTATCAAGGCATCAGGCATCCATTTAGAGATAGAGACCCACGGTTATGAGGGGCGATCTGTTCGTCATGACGGACTTCATCAGCGAGTAATGGAATGATCAATGACTAATATATGAGAGAGAGAGAGAGAGAGAGAGAGAGAGAGAAAGAGAGAGAGATCTGTCTAGTAGTGCATCTCTCTCTCTCTGTCATGCGCGCGCCTGCGTATGTGTAGTTGTGTGTGTTTTAGAGAGAGAGCGAGAGAGCCGAGCGAGCGAGCGAGAGAGAGAGAGAGATCTGTCTCCGTGAGCTAGTGCATCCGTCTCTCGCTGTCATGCGCGGGCCTGCGTATGCGTAGTTGTGTGTGTGTGTGTGTGTGTGTGTGGTGTGTGTGTGTGTGTGTGTGTGGTGTGTGTGTGTGTGTGTGTGTGGTGTGTGTGTGTGTGTGTGTGTGGTGTGTGTGTGTGTGTGTGTGTGTGTGAGAGAGAGAGAGAGAGAGAGAGAGAGAGAGAGAGAGAGAGAGAGAGAGAGAGAGAGAGAGAGAGAGAGAGATGTCCAGTTCAACTCTCTCTCCCTTTCATGCGCGCGCCTGCGTACGTGTAGTTACGTGTTTTTGAGAGAGAGAGAGAGAGAGAGAGAGAGAGAGAGAGAGAGAGAGAGAGAGAGAGAGAGAGAGAGAGAGGACGGACGCGCTCTTTGGCGCCTCGGTAGTGCCATTGGCTATTTGGATCTGCACATGACTGGTAACCTCCTCCCTCTCTCATGTACTATCAAACACCGCCCAATCTCGCCACTCCTCATCCTCGTTCCACCCAAAGGCAGTCACTGCCGTTACCCAGTGCAAGGACGATAACAGCCACAGAGACACACACAAACACAGACACACACACACACACACACACACACACACACACACACAGAGAGAGGGAGAGAGAGAGAGGATCAGTTTCGCGCGCGTGTATTTTGACGAGGAGGGGAAGCAGGAATAGGACAGGGATGAAATGGAAAATAATACCCAAACTGAAATGCAGCGTGAGGAGAATATTATATTTCAATTAGTGGAAGGACGAGGAGGAAGGGGAAAAGAACAAGGAGGAAGAGCAAAGAGCAGCGGAATGGAGAGTGGGAAAAGAACAAGGAGGAAGAGCAAGGAGCAGCGTAATGGCGAGGAACAGGTGGTAGCTAGAAGAAAGATTACGACTAGAGAAATGAGAGGACAAGGGGACGACGAGTAGGGAAAAGGGTAGAGGGAGGAGGAGGAGGAGGAGGAGGAGGGAAATGGGAAGGGAACGAAGAAGATGAGGAGGAGGGAGGAGGCATGTGGGAAAGGAAGAGGAGGAGAGGCAAGACGAGGGAAAGGAGGAGGGAGGGGGTAAATTAGGAGGAGGTGGGGAAAGAGGAGGGGAAAGAGGGGAAAGAGGAGGAAGAGGAGATGGAGGAGGAAAAGGGGGAGAATGAGGAGAACAAGGGGAGAAGGATAAGGACGACGCCAAGGAGTGGAAGAGGACGTTGAGGAGGCGGACGATGATGAAGAGGATGATTAAGAGGAAGAAGAACCGGAGGGCATGGTATAGGATGTAACATGAAATCTGAAATAGGTCATACTCACACTAGCCCTTTCCTAAATGTATCTGACTGGGCTTACGGCCATACGTCGACGAATCTGACCGCAATCACGTCCAGAGCTGAGCAGAAAAAGTCCATAGTGCGAGTATGCCCAGGGAACTGTGGGAGCACAGGAAGCGAAGAAGAGGACGACGACGAAGATGGTAAGCGCGAAGGGTGCGGGGGTGGAGATGCAGGCGATATTGGATTGAGAGAGAGAAGTGGAGTAAGAGGGAGGTAGGGGGAGGAGGAAAGGAGAAGGAGAACGAGGAAGATGGGGAGCAGTAGTGGAGGGTAAGGGTGGGAGAAGAAACAGATGAGAGGGGCTAGGATTGGAGTGAGCCTGTGGGGGCGAAAATTGAGGTGAGAGTCTGTGTTACTACCTAGGCGAGAATAGTCTCGTGAGGCATGGGCGAACCCCGAAAGATAGATGCGTAGATAAATAGATATATCAGAGTTAGTTAGATAGATCAGATTTAATTAGATTAGATAGCGGATAGATAGATAGATAGATAGATAGATAGATAGATAGATAGATAGATAGATGGATAGATAGATAGATAGATCAGAGTAAGTTAACTTATCTAGCGTTTAGGTAGATAGGTAGGTAGCTAGATAGATAGATTAGATCATAGATAGATGGTAGCTTGGTAGCTAGCTAGATAGAGAGATAGATTAGATCAGGTAGATAGATAGAGAGATAGATTAGATGAGGTAGATAGATAGATTAGATGCTATAAGATTACATTGGCTAGATGGATAGATCAGATAGATAGATAGGTAGATTAGATAGATAGATAGATAGGTAGATAAATAGATAGGTAGATAGGCAGTCTAGGGGATATATGAGGTTGTCACGTTAAAAGCACAACCGTTTTCCCTCGAATACAACGTATGGGGCAACTTTCAGTGTAGATACAGCGATAACGACCGCACGTTCTTGTCGAGGGAAGACGGCACCTGTGGGTGTAGTAGTACCACAGCTGACATCAGAGGAAAAGAACTCCTCCCCTTGTCCCCCTGTCCCCCTATTCCCGTGTCCCCCTCTCCCCCTGTCCCCCCTTCCACCAGCTGTTTTTAAAAAAAAACAGAAAAGGGGATGCGGATCTATAGGAATGCGAATTCACGAAAAAGAAAAAAAAGAAAAAGGAATGCGAATTTACCATTTACAGCTCTTTGATCAGGGAAAAAATAGAAAGGACAAACTAATTACCCTTGTGTAAACTCGAACTTTAAAATTTTTAGGCCTTACCCTACAGCTCTAATTGAGGGGGTCCTTTACTAACGCTTCGTCGCGAGTGCCCTACCTGGTTTAGGGCTTCATAGGGCGGTGCTCTGCATGCAACAGGGTTCTGAGCACGAGTTATTTTGTCTTCTTTTTTTTTTTGTAAATAAAATCCAGTGTGAGTATGCCCAGGTAAGGACTTGGCGAATACAACTGAAACAAGAGGGGGGGGGGGGGGRGGGGGGGGGGGGRAAGGMAAAAAWAAAAARAAAAAAAAAAARGGGGGGGGGGGGCAGTTGGACTTCCGTGGTGCTGGAGGCCATGAGTCTCTGGACTCTAGGGTCGGGGAAACTATGAAAAAAAGAAAAAAACATAGAGAGAGGTTCGGGCAAAAACGGTGGTTAATTGGAAGCACCTACATGCTTTTGCACTTCTGTTCGGACGGAAGTGTTGTCCATGGTCTGTCATAATGCACCTGGATGGATTCACGTCAAGGTACATATCACGCATCTGGTCAGTTCGGGGGGCAGGTACATTCCGACAGAGGCATGGAGGCAAATAAGCCAAACTCTGGAGGAATTAGAGGGAAAAACTTCAAAAAAGTTCATTTTTGTAGAGAGTCGAGGCCCATATTGTCTTTTTCACTAGAACAAGCCAAACTCGCTAAATTTATTTCCGGCTAGAATGTGGAAAAATACACCCGATTCTATCCTACCTCCCCATTGCTGCTAGACTGAATACATAAGAGAAAACAGGGGGGCGCTTGAGGGAGCGCTGCGCTAACGACGCGACTCACTACCGGGGATGGTAGCGAACCTCCGCTAACGACGCGACTCACTACCGGGGATGGTAGCAAACCTCCGCGTACTAGGCGCAGTGATGAAGCTCAGCGGGTCCTTCGGAGGGCTTTGTCCTCAGTAATCCCGAGTTCGAAGCAGGATGGAGGGCTGTGCACACCGTAGTTCGCTGGGGTGAGTGTCGCTGTAGAAATACCAGGGACCTGGACAGCTCCCCTCTACCGCAAGGGCCTTCGGCCATTTGCTTGAAAATTTTGTTCATGGAGATTAGCTAAAGTGCAGTTTCGAGGTAAGAGGAGAACGCTGATGCGCTGGCTGATGCGCTGGAGTATAGAACTAACTCGTAAACCTACAGATTGCAGTGTTGTTTAAGTTGGAATAAATCCATACGTAGGGGGCTGCGGAATCGCACTGGGTCAAAATAAGGAAGTTGGGGCCCGGACGGGAGGGGTGACATAAGCAGCTCCATGGGAGATCGGAGCCCGGGGGGTAGATGATGATTGACTGCAGTGCTTAGGTAATGACAAACGCTCAGGTGAGGATCTGAGACATGCTTCATTAGATTGTACATGGGAGCTGGACTCGGCTTCCAGCAGATGATGCTGTCCACAAATAGATGGTAGGGTATAAGGCAGAACATAATACTACAATAGGAGCATACTACTCCGGACAGGTGTCTGTCCTGGAGGTACAACCACAGTCATGATAGGCACATAATGATCCAGAAGGATTGACAGGATGCTGGGCCGGTTTCGGCCCACCTCCACCACAGGTATACTAAACCTGCCACTATTGGATTGTTTTCATAGATGACACGGTTCTCACTGTAAACTACATCACAATCGATAGTTAGTACAGACTACAGGCTTGCTAACCTTTCACGGCCTTATTCTTCTCGTATCTGACACGATGCACATCAAACTGTGTAAGTATTTTAGATGTACTGTACAGGGACGCTGGACCCGATTTCCAGGTGTTGGCTCCCCACCAATAGATGGAGCCTCCCCGGCTCTACTAGTGGTGTCTGATCGTATCAGCACCCCTAGTAGCCGCTCGGCCTGTTCCTTTCAAAAAAAAAAAAAAAAAAAAAAAAAAAAGGAAAAGAAAAAGGAGATATGGGTTTCTACTATGCGCTGCAGGCGACAAAGCTCTCTGGAGACACGAAAGCCATGACACTATAGGCCCAGGAATAACCCCCTTTCCATAAAAACTGAGGGTGGAGGTTTTGGAAAGGATTGTCTATCCTAATTTATTGGAAGCCTGGTAGGCTAGGTTAGGGTGGTTTTGTTATTTCTGGTGGTAGGACTCTTTAGGGATGGCTACTCCAGTGGAGGAACAGACAGATGGAAATGCATCTTTGACAGATGAAGAGGTACAGCGAATTAGGGGGATTCTGTCTCAATGCTACACAGATGGGATTCTCCCTACTTGCTCCAAACACCGTAGAAGTAGGGGAGGACTATGTACGAGTCATAGTCAACCCTGAAATCTACCGAGTCCAAGCGGGATGGTTGCGTGATCATGCAGTCACAATCCTTTTTGGAGACGAGTCAACAGTGCTTTCGGTCGACGTTAAGAAATGCCTAGTTAGACTATATGAGAATGGCTGGGCATCCGCGTGTCAGTTTGTAGTCCCACCAAAGAGGGGTTTATTTAAGGCAAGAATTTAGTGATGTACGTGGCTCCTGCCAAGGAGATAGCAATGTGGATGTTGCAATTGGGGCGAGCAGAGATAGAACTGGACAAAAAAATGTATTCCATCTCCTTTCGCCCCTGGATGACGGAGCAAGAGCTCTGGGAAGTGCGAGAGGTTGCTAGACACAGTTTCTTCTGGATCCGATGCCAGCAAGTCCCAGTGGCAGCCTTAGCCCCACTTTACGGAGCGGTGGAAGATGCGTTCGGCAAGGTCATTAAAGAATTCCCGGCCTACAAAGACCCGCTGGCCCCGGACTTATTCAACATCCGGTTGGACCTTGAATCGGCAGCACGATTGCGATATAAAAAATATCTGGTAGTCGACCTCGGTACCCACGGTTTCGTCGACATTGAAGTGGTCTGTGCGTCGACCCCATGGTGTCCAGCGTGTCGCCAGCACTTTCACGTGGAAGGGGACCCGGATTGTTCGAAAGGAAAAGGGGAACGCCCATCATATGCGGAGAAAACGAAATCCGGGAAACTGAACTCAGATCCGAAAGCAAAGGGTAAAGACCCCTTGCCGAAGAACGATCCCAAAAGGGCGAAGGGGCCGCAAGGCCCCCACCCACCCCCAGCCCAGAAGGAAGATGTTGATAAAACAACGAAGGGGGCGACTTACAAGGATTTCCCTCCCCCTCAGGGAGGAGGGAAGCCACAGGAAAAGCCTGTGAAGCCTGTAGATCTCGACCCAACAACGGAAATGGAAATTGAGAAAGCCTCAGTTGAGAAGGAGGATGGGGACAAAGATCGGATGGATGAAGACAAGACAGCAGCAGGAAGAGAGAAAAGAAAGCGGCAAGAAGAGCCGATACTGGATGAGGAAGACGAAGAGGAGCAACACAAGGAGAAGGGGAAAAAGGAGGAGACCGAGGGGAGTAAGACGGGGGAAGAGGAGGAGGAGGAGGAAGAAGAGGAGGAGGAGGAAGAAGAGAAAGGTAAATTGGGAGATGAAGACTCAAAGGGAGAGAAGGAAGGGGAAGCCTCAACCTCGGAAAGCGAAATGAGGGAAGAGGAGGAAGAGACAGATGGAGAGAAACTAGGGCTGGCTTTCCTCGTGAAGAAGAGGAGGAAGAGGAAGAAGAGAACATGCAATTGGAAGATGCAAGACTTGAAGAGAGAGAAGGAAGGAGAAGCCTCAACCTCGAAAAGCGAAATCAGTGAAGAGGAGGAAGAAACAGATGGAGGAAAACTAGGGTTGGCTTCCCTTATGATTGCTGACATTAAAATTTATCGAAACAAAATTTTCGATGAAACAACAGAGAAGGTTGCACTTCGGAAGGCAGACTCGAAAGGATCCTTTTCGAAGGAAGTTTTTGCGGATTGCCATGAAGCACTGTCGACTCCAGATAGTGACAAGGCAAAGAACGATGTCGTCGGTCAGAAACAAGCCCTAAGGGCAGCCGAAGCCTCCCCTGCCAAAATTGGCAGGACTCAGAAAGCCACGAAGCCAGCAGTATATAACCACCGGGAGCAAAGCCATCCCCTCCCTAGCCCCTCCCATGGGCACCTTGGGTCGTGCGGACAAAGTAAAAACCACTGAGGTGGCAGTACCATTGATTTGCATACAGTCGCCATATGGGCCAATGGTATTAACAAAACTGGACAAGAACGAATCGACATACTTCCCAACGCCAGGGACAGACCAGCCAACACAGACTGAACTGGTAGCTGAAATAAAAAAGCGAGTTATGACAGAAAACCTTTTTTGCGTCGTATTGGCAAATCCGAAGAGAGGCAGGGTCATTGTTAACTCACCTAAAGGGAAATACATGCTACACCTCTCCTTTATGAAGCTGCAGGGAGCTCCTCAGGCCCTCGAAGATCTGAGGGCCCAACAGGTTCATTGGACTCCGTTAGCACACTTCTTGGACATAGGTATAGATACATTGAATATATCGAGGTGTGCGAAGGCATAATAGCATATGCAGTTGCCGAGTGGATTACCCACAATCACTTGGTAGATGTGTTGACGTCTACGGCCTTCTTTGACAGCTTGGCATACACCCCACCTCCCATTTCGACAGACCCCTAGTCGGTAGTCAAAACGAGAGCAGGAGACGTACGGACACGTTAAGGCAGAGGAAAGGTAGTTACGGTTGGCCGTACCCAAACCTCTCGCGACAATGGTCGGGGCAATGGTCCTGCCAAACCACATTAGGTTGATTACGTGGAATGTACGTGGAATGGGATATTTGAACGGTAGACCCAAGAATTCAAGCTTACGCTCGTGGATTTCTTCGCAGAATGTGCAGATAATTTGCTTGCAAGAAACAAAGTTAAATGAACCTAAAATAGCAGCCTTTCAGACATGGTGGGATGGACCTCAGTTTTGGCCCCCCGCAGTAGGATCAAAAGGGGGGACCGCCATCCTCATTGTTAAATCCCTAGAAGTAGAAGTGTTAGATTATTACAAAGATTCAAAAAGACGCTGGGTTTGGGTAAAGCTAGCAATAGATACGGAGGAAAGAGCGGTTATGTCAGTTTACGCCCTAGTCCATTACCAAGATAGTGTCAACTTTCTGGCCAACCTACCTGCCTGTATACCAGAGACGAAAAATTTGATTTTTGTTGGGAACTGGAACACGGTATTCAATCCGGGACTCGACTTACTCCGATGCAAACCTACAAGGGTAGACAGTACAATGTTGCCATCCTTCGTGGAAGCCCAGGCATTAACTGACGTATTCAGATCATTCAATCCAAATGCCCATGGTTTCACATGGTATGAGAATAAGCCAACACAGACCACTCTAGCCCTCGGAAGCGCCTCGACTTCTTTTTGGTAAGAGGCACACCGTGGGACTTGAGCATGTGGTGCGATTTGGGAGTCTCCATCTCCGATCACTACCCAATGTTGTTGGACATCCTCTCGAAGGAGATGGTGGAGAGGCATTGATTGCCCTTAACGTAAATTTATTAAAAGACGAAGGGCTGCTAAGATGTATATGTACCCACATGGGAGCCTGGCCTGATGCAAGGAACCTATTTGAGGACACAGACCAGTGGGCGGAAACAGGGATTGCGATAGTACAGACAACTCTCAAGGAGTTAGTTCTCAAGGATAAAGGCAGCCACTCCAAACTGACAAAAAAAAGTATCGCTAAAAGCTGTTAGGGATTCAAAATCACAAATAGGTCTGGACCCATTTTTCGGTTATTATTGGTCAGAAAAGCGTCTAGAATACCTATCACAGTTAGAAGCCTTAGATGTTAGGAAACAAATGGAATGGATCGAGTGGTTAAAAATTAGAGGAGTGGTTGGGTATGATCAAATGAACAAACTTACTTTTAGGTCACTACTCCTGAGACAATCCAAACCGTTGATAAGAGAGTTGTCACACCCGTTTGCCTGTCTCTTATACACATCTAGATGTGTATAAGAGACAGACTACGGATATGGTAGGAAACAAATGGAATGGATCGAGTGGTTAAAAATTAGAGGAGTGGTTGGGTATGATCAAATGAACAAACTTACTTTTAGGTCACTACTCCTCAGACAATCCAAACCGATGATAAGAGAGTTGTCACACCCGTTTGCTATTCAGGCCCCTACAACTACGGATATGGTAGATATGTGTGCATACACCCTGGAGTACTATAGAGATAGAGTCTCCACGAGGCGCCTCTTTGATCCCCCGAACTGTGATATGTCAGAATACACTGAGTTTGGGTCACAATCACTGAAAGTGATCTCACCTAGCGTGAGAAGAGCACTGGATATGCCAATGTCACAAGAAGAGATCGACAGGGCGGCAAAGCAGATGGCAACTGGAAAATGTCCAGGGTTGGATAGATTGCCTATTGAACTCTTCTTGGCGGCCTGGCCAGCCTTTGCCCCGTTTCTATGTGAGATATATACAACAGGGCTATGGCAACAGAAATTTCTCTCTAGTTTCACTAGAGGGATGATCTCCTTGATGTACAAGAAGAGGGACAAACGGCAAGTAAAAAACTGGAGGCCAATCTCGTTATTAAACGTGACATATAAACTGTTTGCTAAAACTTTTGCTATACGCCTGGCGGGCCTGTTACCAAACCTCATTGGCTGGAAACAGGGTGCTTTTGTCAAGGGGCGGTCTATCTTTGAGAATATACTATCTACGGTCCAAACATTAGAAGTCATAGGTAAAGAAAAAAAAGAGGTGGCAGTCCTTCTCCTTGATATGGAGAAGGCATATGATAAGGTAGGTTGGAGTTTTGTTGCCACCACTCTGGGTCAGATGGGTTCTGGGGAGATATTCTGCAGATGTATAGAGACCAGCTACTATCATGCACGATCCGTAGTGATAGTGAATGAAAGACTGTCAGAAGAATTTCCTCTTGCGTGCTCACTTTGTCAGAGGTGTCCGTTAGCCCCCTTGCTATTCGTACTTCAATTGGAAGTTCTGCTTGATAATCTTCGCACAAATGATAAGATAGAAGGTCTTAGGATAAATAGTCAAGCGCAGTGGAAGGGAGGAGCACTAGCAGATGATCTGACTATCGCATGTGAGAATACAATAGAATCTTTCCAGGAGTTAAGGAAGGTCTTAGATAATTATTGCGAATTGTCGGAGGCTTACATTAACTGGGATAAATCAGATTTCTCTTTACCTTCGCTCAAAGTGTTGTGTGTGGACTGGGGGTTAAAACAGATACCAACGGACTTATCTGAGCGTTTTTTGGGAGTACAAGTCTCGCTTGTTGATACTTCGGATGTGCAAGACTCGATATTGGAGAACAAGGTCTCCGCCCGAATTGTGGGATGGATGCAAAATCACAAGCTCTCTCTCTATGGCAGAGCCCTCGTGTTGTCAGCAGCGGCCTTCTCAATCCTGTGGTTCCCATTATCAGTATGCTTGCTGGGAGAAAGGACCTATCCGAAGATAAAGAGGGCGGGAGTCCGCTACTTATGGAAACCTGCAGCATTAGAAAGTCAGAGCTTCTTGCCCAAGGGGCTTGGGATGTGGTAATTAATCCAAGGGACCAAGGAGGACTCGGGATTATGGACCCAGTCCAGGAAAACCGAGGCGTTTTAGGGAAATGGGTGATTTTCGCTGTATTTGGAAAGGTCGAGAGAGTTTAAGAACTCCCGCTCAATACCAAGCCCGGTATCATCCGAATCAGGATAATCAACGATGAAAAGGTCACGCACCTCCCCAGGGAAGTCGTCAAGGACACGGTTGTTAATTGAACCGGCATTGTCATTAGTATGGCATAGAATTAATCGAGGCAAAAAATACTCGACATCCCCCATATGCTTCGACACATCATCAAATGTCCATGAAATCAACTCATCAATTGGTTTATCCGTACAAATCTTACGTGGCAATCTGACCGCAGCAGGTTCATTTATAACAACACGAGGATGGTCATCATTCCCAATGCGAATCCAAAAGTGGGCATATATTCGTGTCATTTCATCATTCCCTAAGCTTAAGATTCGCTTATTTTCGGTCAGTTGATGAACCCTAAAAAAAAAATCCACAAAGGAGACATTTTCATGGACGCATCAATTTGTTGCGCTCGCGATCCATGTTTTACAACGGGAAAAACTTATCTAAAATCCCCAACTAGAAGTAGATTCCACCAAACAGCTCGTCATTGTTACAGAGGTCCCGAAGCGTAATATCAAGAGCTTCCAAGTGAAACTTGTTACTCATGGAAGTCTCGTCCCAAACAATCAAGTCGCCATGACGGATAAGCTATGCAAGATCACTTTGTTTCCGAATCAAGAAGGGACGCATATTATTAGATTTCAAAGGTGTGCGAAATCATAAGTGAAACGTTCGACCCGCCGTCAAAAGAGTCGCCGCTATCCCACTGGACGTGACGGTCAGTGCAATGACAAAACTCGACCTGATGCCCGCCAAAATCGTTTCAATTCAAAAAGTCTTTCCTGTTCCAGCCCGTGCATTGACAAAAGCACGCAACGGTCTTTTCTCTTGCACAGCCCGAACGTTTATTTCCACCAACACTCGTTGACGTGGACGAAGACGTCAAAAATTATAATCATATTTGCGTTGCATTTGAATCGGATTATACGACAACTCCTCGTTTAAAATCGAGGATACAGTTTTGTTCTCAAAATGTCTGGTTATGTTGTCAACAATCGTTTCTCCGTCAGGTGTTGGATAATAAAGGTAGAACTGACGGATGTTTTTTTCCGACTCTTGCAAAATTCGGTCAAGATTGAACAATACTAAGGATTGCAAAATGTTCGGAGGAACAATTTAATTGTCTGCACGATACTGAAAATCGTCACACATTTTATCCCAATGTCATTCGAAGAAATAGACCGGATCGTTCACCGGACCAAACGCAAGAGCCATAGCAAATATTTTACGAACTTCTTAAGGCATGTAATGCGAGGCGGATGTGTCTATGTATTAATCGTATGCATCGTCTGTTTGCAAAAGGCAAAGCCCAATCGAAGATACACGGATCGGGACGAATCGTATTCGACTTCGTCCACCGTATGAATTTCGGCAAAAAATCGCACCCCACGAGAATGTTTATGGTTTAGCAACACGCGCAGATAAAATCGTTCCTCTTTCGTGATCCTCACCTGATGCAACCGAGATATCTTTTCGAAGGGACCACCGTGAAGGTCACGCTTTCTTCGGTTCCACT